CTCAGGGGATTAGATTCTATGTGGTTTTTTTTTTTGGGCCATTGTAAGGACTTTCACCTTAACCTCAAATGAAATTTGGGATTTTAATCAAAATATTAACATGATCTAGCTAAGCCCTTAAAGATCCCTTTCATTTCTGTGTTGAAATTAAATTGTGGGATGGGGAGGTGGGGAAAATGAAAATAGGGAACTCAATTAATAGGCTACTACAATTTTTAAAAGCAATATTTTGGACTAGGATGCTGGCAAGGGAGGTATAAGTGGTAGCAAATGTGGAGCATGAGAGAAAGAGAAAAATGAAATAATTATACCAGGAGTATGGTTTGAGCAACCTGAAGAATAGTTATGCCATTTCCTGAGCAGAAGAAGGCCATTTGGTAGGAGGAGATAAAAAGTTTGACTTTGAACATTACCAGTTAAACCATTTATCAGGCATCCAAATAGAGTTATCAAGTAGGATGTTCAATGTATGAATCTAGAATTCAGAGGAGAGGGCCAGGCTGAAGAAATTAATTCTGCAGTTGCCATTATACAGGGTCTGGCAGAAGTAAGGCTTGCTTGAGTGTGGTTGGTACGGTAATAATATGGGTGTAATAATTTATAGTTTTAATTTTAACATTTCCCCTAAAATGTCATGGTGTGCTTGAGTGTGGCATTGTTATGTTACAGAATTACGTGCTTATGGTTTTGTAATAAAAAGGGGTATTATTTGTGCTGGACTCTCTATATGTGGCATTTAAAGCCATGACATTGGATGAAATCACCAACATCGGCAGCATGGATGGAGCAAAGGCCATGAACTGAGCCCTGGTGCTCTCCTCTAATTAGAAGTCATGCAGTAAGGCAGAACCAGCAAGAAAGGCTATGACAAAGTGGCCAGCAAAATAGTACAAAAACCAGGTGAGTGTATTATCAGTTCATAGTGTGAAATTGCAGCATACTTGAATGCTGAAAGCAATGATCCAGGAGAAAGGGGAAAATTGGTGATATAGGTAGAGAGATGTGATTTGTTGGAGGGATGTCCTTGATTAGGTAAGAAAGTATAGGATTAGGATATTAGAAAGCATGTTGGTCTAAATAGGGATGGGGCAGTTTATTCATAGTAACAGAAAGGAAGGCAGCATGTGGCACAGATACTGAGAAAGAGATATTGTGGTGGAAAGTTGTAGAGGTTCTCTTTTAAAAGACAGATAAGGTCACTGGAAAAGAAAAGAGAGAAAGTCAAGAAACTAAGAAGCCATGGTAAATATTATAATCACCAAGAATTAAGATAGGAGTAGTGCTAAAATGACAATTAGTAAGGGGGTGAAACCTTTAAAGAATAAGGAGTCTTCAAGAGTTACCCCTTCCATGAAGGATAGTGGTTTTCTGGTGGGAACATTTGAGATTCAAAGCTGAAATTTTGGGTAAAGAGGGCAAGAAAATGACCTAGAAGCAGTAAAGAATAGTAAGGAGGACACTTAAGTCCCCACCAAGCCCAGTTTTGTCAGGAGGCACCCGAGAGAAAAAAATTGACACTACTTGTGAGGGTTACAGGGGAAGCCATTTTCCCAGAAAAAAGACAGGGCCACGTGGAAATGCATGGATTGGGTTTTTGGTTGTCACAATGACTAGTGACTGGAATGCTATGGAAGTTCAGTGTCTAACGAAGAGGGATGATAAAAGTCCTAAAAGGTAGGGGCAAATGCAATTAGCACACCAACTGGGAAGCTAAAGGTGGAAAGCATATTGAACGAAGAGATTGAGGGTTCCCTTAGTCAGGTACCGACAGAAAGCAACATTGAGTGTAAGTAGTTTATTTGTAGGTGCTGGGGAAGCTAATAATGGAAGAGGAAAGTGATTCAGGAAAAAGGAGTCAACAAACGGTGCATTATTAAGCCAAGTACCTCGTGGGTAGCCTGGGTGTAACATAACAGGGAATTTAATATAGAGAAACTTAAGAAAATGCACTCTTCACAATCTGAAGGGTGAGAGAGATGAAGTAAATACACACCAATATCTGAGAGTCCTTGATTGTGGGCTGCGTATCTGAGGGCTATGGGCAAAACGCTGATAGCATCTGTTACCAGGATATAGAATAAAGGTTTACCTGTAGGGTAGACTATGATAGCAGAATTACAGGGTCTAAGGGCAAGTACATTTCAATAAACATCTCCAATTTGTCCATCACATAGAATTTGCATTCATACCAGAAATGTATGAGAGTGTTTATTTCTTCATACCCTGCCCCTAGTCTATATTTTAATAAACTTTGCTTTTTTTTTGCCAATCTTCTAAACAAGCATTTCAGCATAATTTTAATTTTCATTCATCTTAATTAGGTGTGAGGTTGAGAAACTTACCACATACATATGGAAAAGCCTTTTTTATTTCCTTTTCTGCAAACTGCATTTCTTTCAGGTTATCAGTCTCCTTCTTATTGATCTGCAGAAGATCAACCCTCTGTGATATGAGGTACAGATATTTTTTCCTGTTCATTTTGTGTCTTTGGAACTCCTTATGGAATTCTGTCTATTTCTTTCCATCTCCACTGCTGGACCATGCCTCCATCAGCTCCCACCTGGACTAGAGCCTTGGCTTCCTACCAAATCTTTGCTTCCACTCCTGCCTTCTGGATACTGTTCTCTCTGTACAAGACACAGTGGTCTTTGTAAAATGTGAATCACATCATACTACATCCATACTCAAAATACCCCAAGGGCTACCTCTCAGAACACTTAAATCTACATCTCACACTATGGCTGTTTTGACTGCGCAATTCACACCTTGCCTATTTCTCTGAACTAATCTATAGCTCTGTTCAGAGAATGACCTTTTTCCAGACTCTTGAACAAGATGAATTTGTTTGTACCTTGCAGCTTTTATGCTTTGTGTTCAATATTCCTTCTTGCTGGAATGCCCTTCCCACCAATTTCACATGATTTACTTTCTCCCTCATTTGGCCATCAGCATGCATGTCATCCCATGAGAGAGGCCTCACCATCCCATCAGGGTCAAAATGGTACACACACGAACATCCATAGCACAAGTTTCCAGGTGTCCTCTACCTCTTTGTGTTATCTTTGTTTTAGTAGTTAGCGTAATGCCTAGAATATAATAGACTCTTAATACTTGACACAAAAGTATGCCTCAGAATAAAATTCAGATTTTATCATTCTTTCATAGTTTAGAGATTTTTCTGAATTACTTTATTTTAAATAAATATTTGGGGAACACAAACTGAAATAGCCAAAATCAATGCTGGTTTTACATGCTTTATATAGGTCATTTGAACTGTTTTAAAGGAGGGGAAGAAAAGAAAGCACAATAATGTAAACAGAGTTAGTTTGGGGTTTTTTTGGGGGGGGTAAGACCTTATATTTGCAAAGATAATCATGTAAACTTAAAAAACAATGTAGCAAATGTAAATATTATAATAATAATGAAAAGAATAAAATCCACATTAACATCATGTAAATAGGTACAGCTTAAAATAAAAATTAAGTTGATAGCATCCTATACACATTTAAAGAATGTTCTTACTTAAATGATTTTGATAAAAGTAGAATTAATACGCTCTGAAAACCAAAAGAAAATGGTAAAATCTCCCTCATTTCTTGAGTCTCCCTATGAAAGACATTTGCCTGAATGATACGGAGAGATCTGACTAAGATAACAGATCGCTGGAGATAAGTAGGGAGGGGCTGTAGAAGGAGGTTGCTGATGCAATTGTGGGCAGTCTAGGATGGGTTTGGCTGAGAAGCTGAATGCCTCCAGAGCCAATGGAAATAAAAAGAGGACTTGCCCTCTGGTTCCTAGAGACTTTTCTGCCTCTTGAGCTGACTCTCTTTCAGTCTCTGGCTCTCACTGGGGCTCCCAGGTCCTTCTTCCTCAAGGATCCCTGGATGATCGTGCTGCAGCTGCCTGCATTTCCCAACAGACGTTACTTTGTATGGGAAGGAACTCCGGCACAGCCTAGGATCAGGGTGGCCTGGCAGAGGGTGGCAGATTTTTTTCTTTGGGTATTCTAGAAGGAACAGGCTTTGAGGCAGAGCCTGCCATTCTTCCGAAATTGTGTAGTTTTTGTATATTGTATTGTTTTTAGTTTGTAAACTAACCCCATAGAAACAAGATAACTAAAAACAGGGAAAAAGATGGTTGAACTCAGATATTAGAGTTGAGCTTTAATAGATAGGCTTAAGTAACTGCTTTTGAATAAAGACTCCTTTCCTTTATCACTAAAACTTTGCCTCTGAATTTTTTGCCTAGAGGGCGGCGGCAGGCAGCAGAACCCAAGTACTGTTTGGTAACATGAAGAAGGACCTTGATTCACAGCAAACATATTAAACAAGAAACAAATTTTGGTTTTGTTAAGCTACTAAGATTTGGGGGTTTGCTTTTATTAAACAAAGCATAAGCATAATCTAGCTTATACTGACAAAATTATCTACTGTATGATATAACCTTGAAATTCAAAATAAAATCTAAAGGCAGATTCATATGATATATTTATGTCTTTTTATTCTCCCCTAAAATTTTTTAGGGACAAAGAAATGTATAAAATGATATTTTACATATATATTGCACATATATGTAAATTCCATTGTGTATGCATATGTATATGTAAATCTGGTCATGCTGCCCATCAATATTCTCATCTATAAGTATAATATTTAAAAACCATTGCTTTTAAAAACTAAAAATAATTCCTTAATTGTATCAATTGTATAGAGTTTATACTAGTTTTTTAAAATTGATTTCAGAGACAAAGAGGAAGGGAGGGGAAGAGAGGGGGAGAGAGAGAGAGAAATATCAGTTTGTTGTTCCACTTATTTATGTATTCATTTGTTGATTCTTGCATGTGCCCTGACCCAGAGATCAAACCTACAACCTTGGTGTATTGGGACAATGTGGACAATGCTCTAACCAACTGCTATAATAATTTGTTTTAAAATATCGTAACCATAGTGTTTAAAAAAATCAATTTATGGATCTTATTTTTTAAATGCCTGCATTTTTAAATCACTTCTCAGCCTTTTGCCCAAGATCAAGTATAGTATTTGTTCTTATCAGTTTACTCTGATACGTCCTCTAACTGAGGGCATTATAATTAAATGTATTTTTGTAGCAGAAAGATGGAATAGGAGCTTGCTCAGTCCACTTCACGCATTGACCCAGTATTGCAGTACTTCCAGGAACAATGCATCCGCCTTTGGAGACAAAATTGGCCATATTAAGAGGAAAACCCATTTGCCATAATTTGTTACCTTTCTTAACAGGTGTCCTCTCAAAACCCTCAGCAGAGACCTGGCCAAGTGTATAGGTCAGTTGCGTAGAGCATTGTCCTAAGTGGAACAACAAATTGATGGTACTCTTTCTCTCCCTTCCTTTTTCTAAAATCAATTTTTGAAAGTCTGAATTTTTATAAGAAATACGAAAATGGAACTAGAGAGCATTATGCTAGCGAAATTAGCCAGGGGGTAAAAGACAAATACCATATGATCTCACCTATAAGTGGAACCTAACCAACAAGACAAAGATGCAAGGAAAATAAGACCAGCAACATGAAAGAAAAAAGAAACCAACAAAGACAAGAGGGAAGGAGGGAGGGGTGGGTGGCGGGGGGAAAGGAAGGGAAGGGGCAAGTCACGGAACGTATAGCAAGGACTCATGGACAAAACCAAAGTGGGGAAAGATTGAGGGAGGGAGAGGGAGGGGGCAGGGGAAAGTGGTGGGGGGAAGGTGGAGACAAATGTATTTGAAAAAAAATAATTAATTAAAAAAATACACACACACACACACAAAGAAAAAGATTTTCTTTTAAAACAAAAAAGAATATGCATGGTCACATGAACATGGAGTTGGTAGTATTAATTTACCAGATAGAAGTCTTTGTCCACACAATGAATATAAAAATAATCAAATCTCCAGTTTTATGAAATAATGTTGAAACTATATCATAGAAATGTACTCTTTAATTTTTATAATAGTAAACTGTATTTTTCATATTCCCATTTTTCATTGATTATAAAGACTTCTCAAAGTCTGGCTGGAGATGCCATCCAAACTTCTTGGGACTCTCTGTGGATGTACCACTTTCCTCTTCTCGGCACATGTTGTGAGGTTATATTCTCCCTTCGAAAACAGGTTTTGACTGAGTATGCTTAATGAAGAATAATGACATTGTTTGGAGCAAGGCAAACGTATTGTAAATCCCATCATTCTTATTTGGATGTGTCCAATCCTAGGTTTCCAATATTCTTCTTTATTCACCCCCTGTAGACCCATACAACAAATGACACAGGAACCACAGCAAAGTCTTACCATATTACAACAGCATGTGCTACCATATCTTTCTTTATATAAATTTCATTACTTGTTTCTCTGATTACAATTCTTGACTCTATAATTTTATCTCAGACCAGAATATATTTACTACAATATATAGGCATTCTATAATTATATGTATTGGTATAAGAATCTAAATAATTACCAATAATGTTTCTTAACATCATTTACTGCATTCTTAAAAAGAAAAAATGTGTTTTATTGACTGCAATATTCTATGATATCATTTGTTTTAATTATGAAGTTGTTATTATAAAGATACTCTTTCATCATTGTCATCTAGCTTAGAAATTTCACAGAACTCAATTACTAAGTTAATGTCTATGACCTAGTTTATAATAATATGGCTTAAATCAGCCACTGTTCCAGAAAAGAAACAGCATCGTGTGGTGCTAGATCAAGGCCCTCCACTAGAGGCCATTGTCCTGGATTCCCATGCTCTCTGAGTTGCAGTGAGACTTTAGCATAACGTTGAACTTCACTCCATAACATTAAGATTTGGGCATATTTACATTTTATTGGGTAGAACACATGAGATAGGACAAGATGATATCTTCAAGCCCCTTCTAACACTAGAGCCATTGGCTGACTTAGAATCAGGGCCAGCCCTATTAAGAACTGAAGGAATTCCCACCTTTTGAAACAGCATGGATGGAACTGGAGACTATTATGTTAAGTGAAATAAACCAGTTGGCGAAAGACAAATGCCATATGACCTCATTTATAGGAGGAATCTAAGGAACTAAATAAGCTAATGAGTTAAAAAAGAAAAAAAAAAGGAATGTTTCTATGTTCCAGAGGCATAGAATCATGGAACAGACTGATAACTGTAAGAGAGGAGAGGAATGGGAGGAGGTGGGGCCTGATTGGAGGAACATGAGGGATTACTCAAGGAACATATACGAAGGACCCATGGACATGGACAACGGTGAGGAGACTGACTATGGAAGTGGACATCGGGCTGGGTAGAGGTAGGCAAAAGGTGAAAAAGTGGGACAACTGTGATAGCATAAACAAAAAAAAGTTGGTTTTTTTTTTTTTAAAAGAAGTCAGTGAACTCTTAAAAAAACAAAAGAATTGAAAGTTCTAGAAATTATTTCATTTTTTTGGATGAGATATATTTATCCAGAAATAATGTCTATACAAAACCCCTAGCTAGATAGAAAAAACATACCTATTTTCCTAAAAAGAAAAAGTAAAGTATCCAAACTACCAAAAGACCTTATTTATCATTGCTAAATGCTATGACTCCAGGAAAGAAAGAAAGAGAAAAAAAAAAAAAAGAAAAGCCAATGAGTGAATGTTCTGTGAGTCAAGACAGCTCTTAAAAGGCACGACTTCATATTTTTTCCTTGCAAATGTAACAGAAGGATGGCCAAGGATTGATTTCAAGTTTTCCAGCTCCAGGTTGCATGTACTGTGGACTAAAAGAAAAGCAGTAGGTCTGGACTGCAGAAGAAAACTTTTTCAGTACTCTAAAGCATTCTTCCACTCACTTTCTTAAGTCTTCTCTTCCCAAAGAAAGTGGAATGACAGCACATTTAGATTTGGAAAAGTACTGATTGATAGAACACCCTCCCACTAACACTCTGGGATCAGTTGGGATGGAACAGGGGGAGGAAAATACAAACCTTCAGCCAGTTCATTAAAAACATTTCTGTTTGAAATCTTTTTGATTTGTGGCTTTTCTTGATGACTTCTCCAGACATCTGCTTTTATTCCCCTGCAAGTTATTTCAAAGGATAATGAAAGGTGGGTAAAAAAGATTTTTCATGCTCTATGGGAAAAAAGAAAATATAGATTATTTTTGTCCTTGCTTTGATCATTCTTTCCATGACTCTCCAGGCAGCTTCATAAACTATTACTGAGATCAAAACATAATTCCTGTTATCACTCTGAACGACTATCTGCCTGAGTGAATGTGCAGAAGTTTCTTTTCATTGGCCTGATCAGGAGTGCAATTTTTAGAAGTATATAGCATAGAAGTCTTATAACCCTGTTCACTAAAAACTTTTATTTGTCACTATCAAGGGTTCCTTGGATTCTCAGCATATATAACAGCTTTGAAATAAGACTCAAGTGTCTTTCTATGTTACATAGTCTATGTAGCTTTAGATGTGTCCTGGTTGTCCCTGATGATCTCATTCCCTACTTTTGTTGTCCCCAATTTCTCCCAGCTGAAGGCAATAGTGTCCTCCTGCTGGACCAGGCTGACCCCAGTTTCCTAGCAGAGCCTGATCAGGTCAGGAGATCAGAGCAATTTTGTTCACATGGCTTATCGATACAGCCTAGAACTACTGTATTTTTGCTGTGTTTAATATGTACCCACATTTTAACACTACCCATGTACAATGCACATCCTTATTTTCCCCTAACAAATTTGGGCAAAAAAATGCACATTATACAGCGCAAAATATATTCTTCTTTCTTTGTAATTGGCATGGGTGTAGAAGCCTCTTGCATTGGAGCATAAGGCGTTTTGTTGCAGGTGTTTTTCTTTTCCCCTCATTACCCACCATATTAATCCAATCATGAATTTGCTCTGCTTTCCTTGATGGACTTGAGATACTCTCCCCAACTGGAGCTCACCTGGCTCACTCCAGCTCTGTGTTTGACTAGCACCAAGTCTTTTTCCCACAGACTCTGGCTCCTGGCAGGGACTTGTGAGACAGCGATAATCAGCATCAGACATGGATCCTTGCTGTTGTTCTCTGCTCAACTAATCGGGACCCTTAGTTACCCAGACTTGAGGCTGCCATGTCCTTCGTCTTTTGAGTATTTGACTTCCTGGCTACTCCCCCAGAAATCAGCTCTGAAAACTGGTGGGTATTCTCATGTCCTGCTCTTCACACTGTCAGTTTCTCTTCCTTTCTTGGTTATATATGTTGCTAAAGTACCAGGATGTCTCATGTCACAGGCTGCCCAATATGATACTATGATCTTTTTTCTTATATGCACATATAAATGCATATAAATTAAATAATAATTTAAAGATAAACTCACTGAAAATAAAGGCATTATATCTACAACATTTCCTAGAATCCTCAGGTGTTGATGTGGAAGAAGGAAGTCTTAAAGCCAGTTGAAGTCCTTGTAGCGACTACTCAATTGACCCTAGAAATTTGTAGTTACTATTTATAACCTGTCCATTTATTTCAGGATCTATCACATACCTGAACGACACCTCACACATCTACATGAGGATAATAGAAATCACTGCTCAGAATTACATTACTTGATGATTTCTGGATTCCCCACAACTTCAGAAGTCATTCCTTCTCCTAACAACCTAATTCATTCCTAAAGTCGTTTAAAATTTAGCCTTTGACCCCTTTAAGCAAAACACACAATGTTGATATTTAAATAATGTGATTTGATTTTATAGATTCTGGTAACTGAGCGATATCAAAGTTGTTACTCAGCATTGGCGTTTTACAGGACTTTTCGCAGTCCTATTTCTTCTCATCTACTAAAAGCATTTTTCTATCAATACAATTTTTAATTCTCCTTCACCTCCTAGAAATCATTTCTTTTCTGGCATCTTCCCTGGATCATTTCTTCAACCCTATTCAGAAATCTGCATTTTCTCTAATACATCAAATTATAGAAAAGAATTCATTGCTCAGATGTTTTATTTTAACCTTGTCCTTTGTAATGGAGATTAGATTCTTCTTCAGAACACAGAACTTAACGTTGATGATAATCTCAGGTAAAAGTATAATTATAGCACATCTAGGGCACTAGAAGAGTTTTGTTCGTGACCCTGCTTCCTGTGTTCACAGCGAACTAGAAACTTCTGTAGTTGTACCAATGAATTGCAACTTGTATGTTCTTGTCTTGGTCACTAAGAATTCCTGTTAATA